AAAACATCGAAAAAACCAATGAAATCAACGATTTTGGCCTCTTGGGGCTCTCTTCGGAGGCCTCTTGGAAGGCTCTTGGGGCGTCTTGGAGGCCTCTTGGGCTGTCTTGGGGGCCTTTTGGGCCGTTTTGGGGTCATCTTCGGCGTCTTCGAGCGCTCTTTGGGCGTCTCGGGGGCCTCTTGGGCAGTCTTGGGGGCCTCTTGGGGCACTCTGAGCGCGCTCTGGGGAGCCTGAGAGGCCGCACCCAGAAGGAAAACCATCTCTGAGAAGACTTGGTCGGGCGGCGGTCGGGCGGCGACCGGGCGGCGACCGGGCGTTGGTCGGGGTACTTTTCGCCGGGGGACCCCCAGGGGCCGCCCCGCGCGCGCGAACTAGAAATACTGTTAATACTGTTAACCAGTTACCGGAGATCTTAGCACGCCCTGGCCCGTTGGGCCGGCGAATTCTACTAGATGGGTGTACTACATGTTCGGTTCGGACGCGCGCCTCCAAGGAGGACAGGAGAACATATAGTACTAGTATGTCTTTGTGCGTCCCATTTCCGGCTTCTCGGTCTCCTCTGTGGGCACATCGTCGGGGCGTCCGACTCGGCGGCGAGATCGGAGATCATGATTTTCTGGGTGTGTGATTTCTTGTTAGATTGTTTGCTTCTTCATTCTCCTTGTTCCTCGTCCCTCTTCCTTCTCCTCCTCGTCCTCCCTAGACTCCAGGCCTGTCCTCATTTTTCAGTCCGCTAGCCTTCAAAGCTCCCGGTCCCGTCCTCCAAGCGTCGAAATCAACGCGGCGCCACCAGGTGTTTTTTTGGGGGCGATGCGTCATCGTTGAGCGGCCCTTGATTTCAGCGGCGTGTTCGATACGTCTTGCCGAGCGGCCTCTTCAAAGAATGTCTCCCCGCCAGCGAATGTAGATGCGTTGCTGGCTTCAGCGTTTGCATCAAGGCGGGTGCAAGCTCCCCGCGGCGAGACTCCACTCCGAGTTTCTCAATATGCGTCGGGGGGGGCGTCACCCCCGCCGACAGCCCCACATCGACCCCCGTCGCGGCAGCCACCGCGCGCCGAAGGCGCTCCGACCCCCGTCGTGGCGCGACGGCGAGGCAAGGTGGACCCCCGTCGGGGGGGTACCCCCCCCACGCGTATTTGAGAAGCCCAGAGCAGTCTCTTCCCCGTTCGTTGCGGCGAGACTGGCAGGAAGCGGCTCTGTCGCCACGTCTTCTCTCTCTCTGGCTCAGGGGCTTTCCGGGGCCCGAGGGCGGCCCACGGGGCTTCCCGGGGCCTCGGGAGCACACGAGGGCGGCGCGAGAGCGGGCCCGAGGGCGGCCGCGGCGGGTTTTCTCCAGCCCCCTCTGGCTGGGGATTCGTTTTGAGGAGTTACCAGTTTGAAGCATAGCCCTATCCCTATGTTTGACATCACCTCACCTCGATGCCGGTCTTGAGGATTCTCTCAGTTTCTGAGGGCCCATCCCTAAGATTGTCCTCGCTTTTTGCTCGCTCATCTTAAAGATAGGGATAAGTTCGAGGCTGGTTAAATGGAGCGCTGCGGTCTCCACTTCTCCTCCTTCCTCTCCTCCCGCCTCCCGCCTCTCGCCTTGTGCGTACTTCTTGTGTGTGTGCACCCTGCCTGCGGTACACCTCCTGTGGGTGCATCTTGCCTGGGGGGCTGCTATTTGCGAGTCTGTCGCCACTTTCGAGGGCTGCTGGGGGGGACAGCATAGTGGGTAGCCGCCGCGGATTTTACCTAACAGCGAAGACTGATAGGTTTCTAGCAGGGTCAAAAGAGAGCATCCTGATTCCCCAGGGGGGTCTGGGCAGGATCCGGGGGATGCCGCGGAAAACCGGGGACTCCTTGTTTAGCCAATAGTAACGCACTTCATGGTCTTCGAGTTCCCAGAACTCCATCCCTGGGCATGATTTTGAATGCCCAGAGCCAACTGTAGGCCACTTCGTGGTCTTCGAGTTCCCAGAACTCCATTCCTGGGTTTGATTTTGAATGCCCGGAGCCAACTGTAGGCCTCTTCGTGTTCTTCGAGTTCCCAGAATTCCATTCCTGGGCATGATTTTGAATGCCTGGAGCCAACTTTAGGCCACTTCGTGGTCTTCGAGTTCCCAGAACTCCATTCCTGGGCATGATTTTGAATGCCTGGAGCCAACTGTAGGCCACTTCGTGGTCTTCGAGTTCCCAGAACTCCATTCCTGGGCATGATTTTGAATGCCTGGAGCCAACTGTAGGCCACTTCGTGGTCTTCGAGTTCCCAGAACTCCATTCCCGGGCCACATTTTGGATGCCCGGAGCCAACTGTAGGCCACTTCGTGGTCTTCGAGTTTCCAGAACTCCATTCCCGGGCCACAGTATTGAATGCTGAGCAGCGATGCTGACTGAGGCATGGCTAGGCTAGGCACTGAGCTAGCCGAGGCTAGCACAGACTGAGCTTAGGCTGAACAGCTGAGCTGAGCTGAGGCAGCCAGCTGAGGCTGAGCAGCTGATGCTGAGGCAGGCCGAGGCTGAGCTAGGCTGACTAGCTGAGCACAAGCTATGCTGAGCGAGGCAGCTGATGCTGAGGCAGGCTGAGGCTGAGGCCGATGCTGCAGGCAGACTGAGGCTGAGGCTGAAGCAGGCTGAGGCTGAGGCTGAGGCAGGCTGAGGCTGAGGCTGAGGCTGAGGCAGGCTGATGCTGAGGCAGGCTGAGGCTGAGGCTGAGGCTGATGCAGGCTGAGGCTGAGGCAGGCTGAGGCTGAGGCCGAGCCTGAAGGCAGACTGAGGCTGAGGCTGAAGCAGGCTGAGGCTGAGGCTGAGGCAGGCTGAGGCTGAGGCTGAGGCAGGCTGATGCTGAGGCAGGCTGAGGCTGAGGCGGATCAGGCTGAGGCTTTGTGCAGGCTGAGCTGAGTCCGAGGCTGCAGGCAGACTGAGGCTGAGGCTGAAGCAGGCTGAGGCTGAGGCTGAGGCAGGCTGAGGCTGAGGCTGAGGCTGAGGCAGGCTGATGCTGAGGCAGGCTGAGGCTGAGGCTGAGGCTGATGCAGGCTGAGGCGAGGCAGGACGAGGCTGAAGGCGGAAGCAGGCGGGGGTGAGGCTGGGGCAGAGGCAGGCTGAGGCTGAGGCAGAGGCAGGCTGAGGCTGAGGCTGATGCAGGCTGAGGCTGAGGCAGGCTGAGGCTGAGGCCGAGGCTGAAGGCAGACTGATGCTGAGGCTGAGGCAGGCTGAGACTGAGGCTGAGGCTGAGGCTGAGGCTGATGCAGGCTGAGGCTGAGGCTGAGGCAGGCTGAGGCTGAGGCTGTGACTGCGACTGCTGTCGCCACTGCGACTGTCATCGCGAATGCGACTACGACTGCGAGAACAGCAGAATTCTACAACTGGATTCTCATCTGAATCTTAAGGGGAATGCTTCCATATATGCTCCTACACATCGCTGTTAGGTAGCTTTGCCGGGATAATGTGGTTGTTGTTTTTGTTTCCTGCGCGCGTCGGCGGTGCTTTTGGCCAAGCTGCCGAGGCCACGGCGCGTGACCGCGGACACCGGAGCGGAGGAGGTGTCCAACGGCACGGACGCGAACAGCAGTGCCCCGTCCGCGGAGGGCGGGGGGGACATGGGGCATGGGACGGAGGGACAGAGTCAGAGGCGACGATAGGGGCGAATAGCCCAGGGGAGAGCAATACATGTACTCAGGTGCGCCGATGATCTGTCTTCGAAAAGGCTCCAGGGCGAATACGTGTAATGCCCGCCCCTGGGCTATTCGCCCCTATCGTCGCCGCCGACAGAGAGACGTATTGATTTGTGGTCTGCGTAGCCCAGCTCTGCCGCGGGTAGGACAGCATGTACGTGGAGCAATGGAGCACCGCACAAATTCACATTTTCGAGGGTCCGCGCGGATTTCGAGGATGCGCGCTGGTCCTCCTTCCCTGGTGCGCGGAGCACGCCAGGGGCGGCGCTGGAGGCCGCCAGGGGGGCCCAGCGCCGATCCTAAAGCCGCTTAGACCCTCGAAGGTTTCGGCTTACGCAGTTCTTTCTCCTATGACTCTATCACGGGTCGGACAGCATACTGCGGCGCTCAACTAGCCCACTGCTAGCGCTGGGTCCCCAGCTGGGGCAGTGAAGCAAGCACCAGTCAGCCAGCACGGGCGCAGTCGAACGTTGAACAGCAGTGCAGTAAGCATCCAGTCCAAAGGACTGAGGGTGCGGAAACTCGACATGGAGGGAGGAAAGGGGGAGGAGGTAGGAGGGAGGACGGAGAGGGAGACGATGATGGCGAGGAGGAGGAGGAGGAGGAGGAGGAGGAGGAGGAGGAGGAGGAGGAGGAGGAGGAGGAGGAGTCCCAGCCTAATTGGGTCACTGGCCGTGGCGCGAGGCGAACCCCGCCTCGCAAACTCTCCGCTGGAGGGCTGCTCTCTTCTCTGGGGGACGGCGCGAGCGCGCGAGGGCTGGCCGTGTTCCGAGCCTGAAGCAGCGCGGAGCGCGAAGTCGGGCGACCCAGAGTAGGGAGGTGAAGAGCATGGCCCTAAAAGGGCCCTGCAGGGCCCGTCTCTTCACCCCCCTATCTTCGGGCGACGAAATCTATACGTATCCACTGCTCTCCCTCTTGGAGCCATCTGGGGGCCGTCTTGGGCCCTCTTGGCGCCCTCTAGGGCCGTCTCGGGGCCCTCTTGGGCCGTTTTGGGACCCTCTTGGGCCGTTTGGGGGCGATCTTGGGGCCTCTTGGGCCATGGAAGCGAAAAAGGCGAGAACGCCCATGTCTTTCAAACATTTGAAGGAGAATCAATGGTCTTTGCCTCCTGGGGCCCTCTTGGGAGGTCTCTTGGAGGCGTCTTGGGGCGTTTTGGGGGCATCTTGGGCCGTCTGGAGGCCATCCTGGGCATTTTGGAACGATCTTTCGGCGACTCGGGCCCCCCTTGGAAAGTCTTTGGCCCTCTTGGAAAGTCTTGGGGTCCTCTATCCCCGTTCGTCTGGGGCCAGGGGCGCGTTCGTCCGGGGGAACGAGCGCGTGCTGTGGTCGCTTGGGGGTGGGGGGAATTGAACCCGGACCTCCCCCCTTCCCCTGGATGGGGGCGGGGCGTTTCGACCCCGGCCCCCTTCCTTCCTCCCTTGCTTCCCCTCCTCTCCTCGGGCCGGCGACTGCGTCGGCGGCGGCTGGCGGCGGCGGCGGGGACGATGATTCTTCTTCTGGGCCGGCGCCGGCGCCTGTGCCGTCGGGCGGCGGCGGCGAGGAGCGTCGACGAGGACGGTGGTGGTGGTGGGTTGTGGTGGTGGTGGTGGTGGCTTGTGGTGGTGGTTGTGGTGGTGGTGTGGTGGTTTGTTGTGGTGGTGGTGGTGGTTGTGGTGGTGGCTTGTGGTGGTGGTTGTGGTGGTGGTGTGGTGGTTTGCTGTGGTGGTGGTGGTGGTTGTGGTGGTGGCTTGTGGTGATGGTGGTGGTGGTGGTTTGGTGGTGGTGTGGTGGTAGTTTGTGGTGGTGGTGGTGGTGGGTTGTGGTGGTGGTGGTAGTGGTGGCGGTGTGGTGGTGGTTTGTGGTGGTGGTGGTGCTGGTGGGTTGTGGTGGTGGCAGTGGTTTGTGGAGGTGGTGCTGGTGGTGGTGGTGCTGGTGGCGGCGGTGGTGGTGGTGTGGTTGTTTGTGGTGGTGGCGGTGGGTTGTGCTGCTAGTAGTGGTGGTGGTTGTGGCGGTGGCGGTGGTGGTGTGGTAGATTGTGGTGGTGTTGGTAGTGGTGGTGGGCTTTTGTTGTGGTGGTGGTGATGGTGAGTTGTGGTGGTGATGGTTGTGGTGTTGTGGTGGTGGTGGTGGTGTGTTGGTGGTTTGTGATGGTGGTGGTGGTGGTGGTGGGTTGTGGTGGTGGCGGTGGTTTGTGGACGTGGTGGTGGTGGTGGGTTGTGGTGGTGGCGGTGGTGGTGGTGGTGGTGTGGTGGTTTGTGGTGATGGCGGTGGGTTGTGCTGCTAGTAGTGGTGGTGGTAGTGTCGGTGGTGGTGCTGGTGTGTTAGATTGTGGTGGTGGGGGTGGTGATAGTGGTGGTGGGTTTTCGTGGTGGTGGTGATGGTGGGTTGTGGTGGTGGTTGTGGTGGTGGTGGTGGCTGTGGTGGTGGTGGTGGTTGGTTGAGGCGGTGGTGGTGGTGGTAGTGGTGGCGGTGGTGGTAGTGGTGGTAATCGTCGCTGCGTCTCCGCCGTGGCCAGCGCCAGCGCCGTCGCTGCTGGGCGCCGGGGGGGGGGTTTGAACCCCCCCCTGGGCTGCCTCTGGTCATCGTCGCTGCGTTCCCGCCGTCGGCGCTGCTGGCGGCCGCCAGCGCCGGCACCGGCGGGGGGGGGGGTTGGGGGGTTTGGGGGGGAGTCCCGTAAAAGGGCGAGAACGCCCTATAGGTCCGTTCCCGTTCCCGTTCTCGTTCCCGTTCTCGTTCCCGTTCCCGTTTCGTTCCCGTTCCGTTCCCGTTCCCGTTCCCGTTTCGTTCCCGCCCGGTCGCGTGCCCGTCTACCCCCCCTAAGCCTTCTAGCCGACCCAAGAAACGCGAACGGGAACAGGAACGGCAAGCCTCCTACGGCCTCCCAGGGCCTCCCAGACGACCCAAGAGGTCTCCCGGAGGCCTCCCAGACGACCCAAGAGGCCTCCCAGAGGCCTCACAGACGACCCAAGAGGCCTCCCAGAGGCCTCCCAGAGGCCTCCCAGAGGCCTACTGCTACTACTACTACTACTACTACTACTACTACTACTACTACTACTACTACTACTACTACTACTACTACTACTACTACTACTCACTACTACTACTACTACTACTACTACTACTACTACTACTACTACTACTACTACTACTACTACTACTACTACTACGACTACTACTACTACAACTAGAACTACAATTACTACTACTACTACTACTACTACTACTACTACTACTGCTACTTACTACTACTTACTCACTATTACTGCGTTAGGTTCGCGTCGTGCGACCAAGCGGCGACCTCCAGCGCGGGGTGTTCAAGTGTGAACCGCCGCGGCGACCCAGAATCGATCGATGTTGAACAGATCGGAAGCGTTGAGGCAGCGGGCCAAGCGTTCAGTGTTTGAAACGATCCTGCGGTGTCAAAACCAACGCTGGGTCGGCACGACACGAACCTGCCGTATTACTACTACTACTACTACTACTACTACTACTACTACTGACACTACTACTACTACTACTACTACTACTACTACTACTACTACTACTACTACTACTACTACTACTACTACTACTACTACTACTACTACTACTACTACTACTACTACTACTACTACTACTACTACTACTACTACTACTATTACTACTACTACTACTACTACTACTTCTAGTAGCCTCCTGCAAACCAAAAAGTGATCCCTCCAGAGGTCGCTTGCTCGTCCGAACAAGTTCTGGCACCCACTGAACTCTGCAATTTCTTCAGCAATAAACAGAGCGCAACAAGAAGTCGTGTATTCCGGCGAAACATCTGGGTCCACAGTATTCAGCTCAAAATCGAAAATCTGGAGTTTCACATTATTTGCGCTCTCAGACTCCATACTCCCTAGAGACTGCCCAGCACCTGCTTCCACGTCAACGACTGCCATCAAAGAGCCCAGCACAAGGTACACACAAGTTACCATTTGCAAGTATCTGCTCAAATAAAAGGACTGCGCAGTCAAAACCTGAGCCACAATGGCTACGGAATGGTCTGGTGTCCCTGGGCTGTATCCGCCACCGTGCCGCCTGGCACGTTGAGGCGTGCTAGAATGCCAAGTGCTGTCTGGTGGGGGTTCTCCTGGAGGCCCCAAGAGGCCTCCAAGAAACCCCAAGAGGCTTCCAACTGCTCCCCAAGAGGCCCCCGAGAAGCCCCCAGAAGCTCAAGCGGCTCCCAAGAGGCCCCCGGACGGCATGGAGGGGGCTTCAAAACTGCCTCCAGCAGGCCCCCGAAAGGCCTCCCGCGATGTCCCGACGATCATCATCATCATAATCGTCGTCATCATCATCACCACCACCGTTATCATCATCATCGTCATCATCATCACCATTATCATCATTACCATCGTCATCGTCGTCATCGTCATCACCATCACCATCATCATCATGATCAGCATCGTCATCAGCATCATCAGCATCATCATCGTCATCATCATCAACATCATCATCCTCGTCATCGCTATCGTCGTCGTCATCGACATCATCATCATCGTCATCATCGTCGTCATCATAATCACCGTCGTCATCAGCATCCTCATCCTCATCATCCTCATCATCAGCAGCATCATCATCATCATTATCATCAGCAGCATCAGCATCATCATCATCATCACCACGGTGGCGGGAGCTGCCGCAGGCAGCTGGATATGCACGAGTGGATTAACATAACCATGGGTGGGTGGGCTACGCTGGGGATGGCCTCCACGACGGCCAAGATGGCCTCCTGGACGGATAAGATTGCCTCCAATATGGCCTAAGACACGTAAGAGATTGCATTCAAGCGTGCTAAGATGGTCCAGTGTGGCCTCCAGGATGGCCAGCATGCCGTCGAAAACTGCCAGGACGGCCCTGCATGGCCCCCGAGGCGACCGAAGATGCCCTCCAAGACGGCCAAGATTGCCCGAAAAGGAGTCCAGATGGCCCCAAGTGGCCTCCAAAAGCCCGCAGGAAACCCCAAAATGCCTCCAAGAGGCCTCCTCCCCCCCTCCTTATCATCTCATGTGCCTCTTCGTTATCATCACCATCATCCCCCTCTATCGTGCTCCTCCCCCATCTTCCTCACCCAAGTGTTTTCCCCACGGGTTTCAACAACGGCTGGGGGAACACCTGGTCCAACACTTGGGCCAAACTTCGCCGTAACGCTTGGCCGCGTCGGCGTTTCCAACAAGCAAGGGGCGGCGGTGATTCGCCGTAGGCGTCTGACAGGGACCTTCCGAGACCGCCAACGAACTCCCAGGAGACCCCAAAGTCCTCCGCCCTGACGTCCCCAAGAAGACCCCTACGGGCCCCAAGGGACCTGCAACATGCTTCCAAGAGGCCCCCGAGAGGCCTCTCAGGAGAGCCCAACAAGCCTTCAAGCGTCCGCAGCCTTTCTGGAGCCTCCCTCTTGACCCCCCTGCAGGGTGGACGGAGACCACGACCACGACGACGACGACGACCACGACGACGACGACGACGACGACGACGACCACGACCACGACGACCACGACGGGACGACGACGACGACGACGACGACGACGACGACGACGACGGGAACGGGAGCGGGAGCGGGAGCGGGAAC